CAGAATTTTACGCCGTTTTCCCAAATTCCTTGTAAAGATTTTTTATTCTCAATATTTAATGAATTAAATAATTTAGTTGCAGCTGCCATACTTTTTCCAGTTGCAGTTGTTGAAACGATATCAGCACCCACAGTATTTAACCACTCACAAACGTCAATTTGCATTCCTTCTTTTTCAATGATTTTCCAATATTCAAACACTTGATCAATAACTTTATTTGATAAATTGATTGATTCACGTAAAAATGAAGGTTTAGAAATAATATTCATAAATCTTCTATTGAGAACCCAATCTTCAATATTACGATTGAATACCATTCCTTTTGTACCTACGTCAAGCTCATTTAAACCTTCACTATATGAAGTGCGCAAAATAAATTTCGTATTTTTAAGAGACGCAGGTCTAAACAATTTTTCCGCTAAATCAGGTCTACTAATAACAATATTATGTGCGCTTCCCATATAAAATTCGTAAAAGTCGCCATATTTTTCATGGAATCTTTTTAATGATACTGTAAAATTTGCGTCAAATTGATGAAGATTTCCAATAATTGGTAAAGGAAGTGGACCAGGAATTTTTGAGGGTCGATTAAAATAATTAATGTAATATTGGATTACATTGGTAAAAATAGTCAAAAGCACGATCGTAAAGAAATTGGTTTTAACGACATCAATTAACTGATAAAATATATTTACAAACATTTTTGAACGGAAAAAATTAGATTCAAATAATAAAGAATGATATTAAATGGGACGTGTAAAAGATTCATTAGTTAGCCCAATTAGAGTTTTATACCTGCTTGCAACTTAATACACCAACTTTTTTAGTTACTAAAGTATCGAATTGGTTTTAAGTTTTCTAGGATTAGGTTTAATCACCAATTCTGGTCTTCAAACTAAAAATGCATCCAATTATCCGTTTTTCCATCTCTAATCAAATATTAAATTGGCCTTTTAGAAGTTTATTAGAGTCGGTTCTTTAAGTCGACTCAGCATGGGCACATTGATTCTAACTCATAATTATTTATGAGCAGAGTTTTAAGAACCAATGAATAATACTTTTAATATATAAGGCAAATATACGAGCATACATAGGTTAGATCGTACTATAAATCTTTTTCTTTAATTGGTCTTTTATCAAGATTTACAAAAATTTCGGGTTTGTTTTAATTTTTACCTATACTATTTATTTCCAAGATTGCCCCAGTATTGATTGAATCAGTTAAAATCTAGTATTATCTCATTAAATCCCTAGATCTTAGACCTTATATATACTAAATTATTTAATTCATTAAATATTGAGAATAAAAAATCTTTACAAGGAATTTGGGAAAACGGCGTAAAATTCTG